AGCTGGTTGTTGCCTTGATTTGCCACAACTTGATTTGGTTGAGTAGCTTGAGTTTGAGGTTGATTTTTATTATTCCTCCAAGAGAAATTGGGGTGGCTGCGCCATCCAGGATTGCATGTGTTGATGTAAGGATTGTTGTATATGCTATTATTATTGTTGCCAATATAGTTGATAAAAATAGGATTTACAGAACATTCTCAGAACAAATGGGCTTTTCCCCAATACACACGGGCAACTGTAGACACACTAGTAACCACCTTCACAGGATCAGGCTTTGTCACTTCATAAGTCATCATATTCTTTATCATCTGGTGGATTTGAGCCACCTGAGCAGCAAGAGTTGTTGTGTCAGTGATTTCATGAATTACAGCAGGTTTCTTTTGAGTTGAATTAACGGTAGATCTTGTGACTGGCCACTGGTATGTGTTGTTCTTAATACTCTCAACTAATCTATACCTTCTTCATAAGACTTAGACAAAAGAGATCCACTGCTTTAGGAATCAAGCATATTCCTTGAAGAAGGAATCAATCCATTATAAAAAGTCTCAAGTTGGATACAGATGGGCATGCCATGGTGAGGGTATTTTCTAAGTAACTCATTAAATCTTCCCAAGCATAAAATAAAGATTTATCATCTCCTTTCCTAAATGAAGTAATTTCATTTCTCATCTTTGCATTCTTGGAAGGAGGAAAGTACTTAGCTAAGAATTTATCAGCAAGATCATTCCATTTGGAAATAAAGTTAGGCTCTAAGGAATTTAACTAACTCTTGGCTCTATCCCTTAAAGAATAAGGAAACAACCTCAACCGAAAGGCATCATCAGTCACGCCAGGAATCTTGAAATTACTAGTAACATCCAAGAACTTCCGTAAGTGAAAATGAGGGTCTTCATTAGGAGAACCTAAGTACTGGCCAGTGGTTTGCAGCATTTGAAACATCATAGGCTTGAATTCAAACTGAGTTGTAGTGATTTCTGGTAAGATGATACTAGTACTCATGGAATTCGGATCAAAAACTGCATAGTCTCTAATGTTGTGTTCCCTATCATTGGCAATGCCAATAATGTCGTCACCAGCCATGACATGGATTGGCTCCTCTTCTTTTTCTGCTTGCACTAGTATATCTGGGTCCTCCCACTCTGCCAAATTAACAATAGTAGGGTTCCCAGGTTGATGTTCAGTAAGTTGTTGCCTTTTTAGCGCCCTGAGAGTTCTTTCTTGTTCAGGATATCCACTATAAACTGGGTGTAAGGACATGTGCATACAATAGCTAAAAACCCGTCGTGACACCAGATTACAACAAACGTTAAAGGCTCAAATTCTTAAAAACAAACAAATAATAGTGAATAATACAAAATCAGAAATGTAACAAAAACCTCTCCAACAACAGCGCCAAAAACTTATTACTTTTAATAAATAGAGGTGTCACATGCAAGTATAAATGTATGTTTGATTGCAGCAAGTGATAAAGACAAGAGTGTCGAACCCACAGGGAATGATGTAATTACTTAGGTTGATTTTATAATTAACTAAATTTGAGTTTTAAGTATGAGCAAAGAGAGAAATAATATGTGCGTGTTATGTTCATCTTTCACTTAAAACAAATCTAAAACAATGTAAAGAGAGAGTGGAAATATATTAAGAGTGAATGAGTTGAGCTATGATCCATTAATATCGTAGAAGTAAATATGTGTGATGATGTGCAGTGTCGTGACATGTAAGGTCAGAGTGATCTTGTGGTGTATCTCTACAGCATCAAAGCATGCATATAAAGGGAAAAGGAACAAATCTCTAAGCCTCACTTATAACCATAATATGGATCTATTAGTATTCTGAAATCCTCAATAGTTGCAACTTTTTACTCTAAGCAAGCTAGGTAAGTGAATATCTCTATCCTACTCATTCAATCATTTTTATTAAGAAAACCACTTGTTGTTGGATCTCTCACAACAATAAGTTGTTATCTACTCCTAAGTTGACCAAACAAAGAAATAGACTTATAACAAGTTAACATATAATAAAACAAGTCACTAAACCACACATCAAATAACATAAAAACAACTTAATATTAACTTCACATTTCTCAACTAAAACTTTTTAGCTCATAATGAACTGAGTATAAACTATAAGCATGGTTCTAGGAAGGAACATTCTTAAGTACATTATGAAAAAGAGATATAAATCTAAGAGAGACTTGAGAACTTCTTGATATGGATAGTCTTTAAGAGGTGACTCTAGTCACGCTAGAGCTCAGCAGCAAGTACATGATTGGGTAAGAAGAAGAAAACTCTTCCTACTCTCAATTTTCCTCACACTTAATATCTTCTGTATTTTCTCTTAGAATTGCTGAACTCCTATCTCAATCTCACCAAAGTATTATTTATAGACTTGAGCTAGAGTTTATTTTGCATTGGATCATAGGCCTAAAATGAGGAAATCACATCAAGCCCAAGTAGAAATTAGCGCCAACACAATATTCCTTCTGCTTAGCTAACAAGATATCAGGTACAAGGAGATAATGGTATGGGATAAGGTGTAGTCTGATAGGCTGTGATGGCAGAGGTGCAGGTGGCATTGCATATTCTGCACAGTGTACGATTGTACCTTCTTTTGTCCACTAGTGCCTAAGAACCTTATCCTTTTGTATTCAAATAACTTTCACTTTTTTACTCAGCAAAGATTCCCTCCATTTCCATCTGCCTTTTATGCTTTCCTTGAATCCAACTGCGTTCATTCTTGTTTTCACATTTCCTCTAAGTCAGTCTTCTTTCTTCAGCTTGTGCTTCACGCAGTAAACTAGTGCAATCATATCTCAGCTCAACAATGTTAACCTTCACACAAAAACACATTAAAACAACAAAATGGAGCAACTATTGTGCTATAAGCTTAACTTGCAAAAACAACTAATAATGCAATAAATTAACAATTAAGAAGCAAAGTAAAACCTAATAAAGACAAAGATTAAGGTATGTATTAACTCACAAAATATGGGTTAACAGCGGACTTTGAATCACCCTGATTTTAAGAACTTTTCTAACAAATAGAAAGACAATCCTTCCTATTTGCAAACACCTGTAGAAAGTACAACCAATTTCCTTATAGGTAAAATCACCACACACTTGGTGAAAAAATATAGCAAAGTGATAAACATAAATTCAATCTTCTCCTTCAATAAACAAATGAAGATGATATAAACATTTAAGTGCTCAAGTGTTTTCTCTGAAATTTTCACATATGAATGAAATATGGAGGAAAAGTCATACTTTTAAATATTACAAACACTTGAAAAACACAAAATTATTCATGAAGAAGGTGAATTTTTAATTTGAAAAATTCTTAGTTATAATGCACCAAATACCTCTTGAAAATAAAAAACAATGGTTGAAAAATAATCATGCAATGATATGGAAATATTTTATGACCATTTGAGATGAAAAGGTGTGATATTAGTTCAGTATTTTTCCAAAACATACAACTAATAATCGATTTCTTTTCCATGAAAAAAGATTTCCTATATCCCAATGTTCAAAAAAAATGCAATTTACACAGTGACAATCGATTGCATTAGGATGTCAATCGATTATCTTGCTTTTAAAAAATAGAATTTTTTGCTGGCACAGATAAATAATAATCGATTGCTTCAGGATGAAAATTGATTGTCATGCTTTAAAAATAAATTTTTTTATTTCTTAAACGACGAAACTTGAACCAATACATACTTAAGAGTTTATATTAATTCTTGAACATCTAAAGCTTATAAGAACTCAATTATAAATTATACCTTGGTCTATGATCCAATTCCATTGAAAATCCAAAATTTATGCAACCTTGATACTTTGATTCTAATCTTTTTCTTCTTTAATCTTTCTTTTAAGATAGCTTTTTGTCTTCATCAAAATCAAGCTAAAAACGATGAACACATCTTCACAAAAAATTAATTAAGCAAGGACAAGATCATATTGACATAGTGCAAGACAAAAGATCAACTTGCATATGTTTCAATCAAGGCATTGAAGATTGAGAAATAAAAAAAAAGTTCAATATACTTAATTTAAAGATTTTGAATTAAAAATGATTATTAAAATGTAATTCAAATAAGGATTTAGACATGTTACTTGATTTGCAAGTAACAAATTAGATATGCTATTTGGTGTGCAACTAAGTTAATAACTAAATTTGTTATGATACCTTGAGCTTAGTAGTGTTTGTAAGCTCATGAATAAATAATTACAATATAATCATGAAAAGTAATCCTTTATCACTCTCCCTTTTATGTGTGTGTGTATTTAACAAGTTCTAAGAATTGTTGAAAGTACATACGATAAAATACTATTGAAACCTAGACAACTTTGTGAAGCACATGCATGGTTGCTATGTCTTTGGTCCATTTTATGTGGTCCATCTCTTTTTACATGCCCAACTAACTCTAACTACCAACAACCGTTTTTTTCCTTCTTTTTTGCCAAAACATGATGAATAATTATTTACAAAAGAAAAACTAGGGTTAAAATAACTTTAATATATAAAATACTTTCATATTCAAATTCTAACAATTTTTTGTGTTGAAACAGTTCATATCAAATTTTATTTTAACTTTAAATAAATCTCTATTAATGAACGCTGAAAATAATATAATTGAATTACGAATATCATAATTATAAAATAATACATAAAAAATACTTCAAATCTTAATAATACAATATTATAAAGTAGAGTAGAGTGAAATGAAATATAACAAAAAATTATTTAATATTTTAATATTTTTTTATAATTTGATGGAATTTCCATCTTATTTTATTTTATGAGTGAGATTAACTCAAAACGCCATGAATTTCATTAATATTATACCCAGAAATTTAATGAACAAGATATCATAAAGTATGATAATCAAGAAGTATACATAAGTATATAAACTACACTTTTAAATAAATAAAAAAGTATACATAGACTACAAATTAAAATCGTATAACATATCTATGATACACTAACTAACTCTCAAATCAATGCAAATAATCAATCAAATTTGCAGTTGTCTTTCCAATCTTCAAAAACTCCAAATCATTCTCAAAAGGAGTCAAATTCAAATCCAAATCCAAAAGCAAAACTCTCTTTCTACCTTTCATCTTTTGTGAAGAATCAAAACTACTATTCCCACCCCCACCCCCACCACCACTACTAGAACTCATAGTATTATTAGAGTTATTCATATTTGAAGCTCTATGTCTCCTCATATGACCACCTAAAGCTTGTCCTATTGCAAACTCCAATCCACAAATAGAACACTCATGAGATTTAGGTTTAGGGGGTGTATTTAGCAATTGACCATCAATATTTTCTCCCATCATTAACCTTGGTTTCTTATGACTTGCTCTATGGCCACCAAGTGCTTGAAATGAAGAAAATTGTCTATTACATGTTTTGCATTCAAACACACGATCATTTGAAGTGATGGTAGATGAATAAGTAGCTTCAAATTGTTCACTTCCTCTAGAAAGTAACATCAAACAATTTGCCATGGTTATGCTATCAACTTCTCTTTCTCTCTTCATAGCACAAAAACTATAAATAAACTTGAGATGTTATAAGGTGTGAAAATGGTTATAGAAGTTTATGAAATTGGAATATTGAAGTTTTAGGAAACTTGTAAAGGTTGTATTTATAATTGTTTCATATAGTTAGCTTGTGAGTGTTGAAGACTTAGTTGACATTTTTGTGATAAGAATATGTAAGGGAACACGTAGGCATGCTTGTTGAATACTCTTTTTAACATACTTTAGAATACACACTTTATTATATGGTTGGTTTGATTTGAAAAAAAATTATAAAGTTAATTGCTTTGAAAATTAATCACCTCTTAAATTAATGTGTGGACTTTTTAATCTACGAATTTAGAGCATATTATCAACATGGTGTGGTAAGTGGTAGATGTGTATACTTTAATTAGGTTTATTAACATAGGGTTAGGGTTTCAATTCTTGACTTATGTAAGTAAAAAAATACTTGTTAGTTATCACAATACAATATATTAGTTCATGCTTGCGGTGAAAAAAATTGTTACAAATGTTTTGAACTAGAATAAAAAATTGTTAAATACCTAAAAAAAACGGAGTTCTGACGTGGTAGAGTAAATTTCTAGTATATCGAAATAAAATGAATCTTCAAAATTAATACGATAACACTCAAGTCAGTAAATAAATGAAAAAATGATACGTATAAATATATGGATAAGAGGATATTTGAAAAAAAATGCGTGTTAGACTTTAAATAGTGTAAACAGTTAAAAATGTCTTAATAAAATGCATTGCCTATTCGAGTTGCGTCCGATCAATATCACTGATGAGAAATGTACTAGAGACTAGAATCACGTGTCAGTGATTAGAATGAAGTCGCACATATTGAGTACTTCTTTTTATGTGATGTCATGGGCTTGACGAACGATCCATAACAGAGTAGTTAATTCAGAGATTGAAAATATCTATTAAATATCGAATAAGATAGACTTTAACGATATTTTGTAAGTCGATTTTTAAATCGACATAAAATTATTTTACGATCCATTTAGAAAGCAATAAATCAAGTAATTAAAATAATTGGGTTACTTAATCAATAATTAGATATGAAATCTTGTGGTAATACCGTGGACGGTACTAAACATTGATGGTAAACAAGATATAATTTCTCAAAAATAAATTAAGCTATCAACTACTAGTAGTTATTAAAATAATCATTTAAAATGTGTCAATGAAAAAGCTATTACTAACTACTATTACTTGTAGGGACAAATGTTGCCAATCACTATTAACATGACTTAGATTTCTTGTGAAATAAGTTAGTATGACTATAGAAGCTGCCTCAATAAAAGCAATTAATTTGATTTCATTGATCTAAAGGGAACTTACTTAGGAGTTGTTTGGTGTGAAAGAGAAACGTGTGGTGAAACGTAAGCATGACAGAATTGCTTAGCCAAACAAGGCAGAACAAGTCACAGCCAGGAGGCATGTTTTGGGCGGCGGCACTACTAGAAATAATTTGTTTGATTAATGTTCAAACTTTAGGATAAAATTAAAATTAAATATTAATGATATTATATATTAAATATTATTATATAGTTTTAAAATTAAATGCAAGGATCATGTATGAAAAAGGAAGCAGCAGAGGACTTGAGTTGGAAGATGGTTTAGAATAATCTGACCAACAAGATGTGAAACTGACTTTTATAAGATCTAGAAACCATGTGTTTATGTTGAATATAATCAAGAATTTAAATCAAATTAATAATATTAAGTTGAAAATATTTAAAATAATTTATAGGTTGGAGTTGGGAAAAAGTGTTGGTATTTTGCTGCTTTTTTAATTTCTGTTAATTACTTAGTTGATTTCAAATTAACTAAGGGGCATTGTAGTTTTTTATTTTTTTGTTTAAAATGTGGTAAGAGAAAATTTATTAAAAGAAAAAGTATAAACATTTTATGAAATATTATTTTATTATTAACTATATATTAGGTGTTATCCGTTGTTGTCATGTGTATGTATAGTTAAATATAATAAATTTATAATTAGAGGTGACAAACGGATATGTATGTTTCCATTTAAGTCTGTTATGTAAGAATCATGTAAAAAAATAGAGCGGAGTCGGACGAACATAATTGAGGATTATGGTCTAAAATTTAGATTCGTTCCATAAAAGAGTGAGTACAGGACGGGAAAAATCAGCGAATATTGTACATTTTAGATTTAAATATACAAAATTTTATACTAATAATCATGTCCACAAAAACCTGCGAAGAAAATGGAGTGGGAGAGGCAGTCACATTAGAAGATGAGGATCTAAATTCTTGACTCATCCCGCACTAAAGTATGAGTAAAACGGACATACCCAACAGGCCGAACCCGTTTTACCACCCTACACTAGAGCATCATCCAGGTAAGGGACCACATGCAGGTCCCCACTACTCACGTAGAACCTGGAAGTTCCTTTATTGGGCCTGTTCTGGTCAGCCCAATAAAGGGACATTGGCCCAGCGCTGGGGGCTATAAACACCCTTTATTTCAAGAGGGTCAGGTATTCATTCATTCATACCTACATACAATTCGCCTGCTCATTCCGTTTCTCACTTTATCATCGGAGTGTCTTGCAGGTACCCCCCCCCCCCCCCATCTCCTTCAAATTTAGTTCGAACCAGCTGTGACGGTCCAATTCTGATCAGGTACGATCAGTGGCGCCGTCTGTGGGAAACTAAGCTTCTCTGTCTTACAAACTTACAAAGACCAAAGCTAAAACCATCCTCGACCGTCATGGCTGACCAGATTCAGGACAACCAGAACGTCTGCATCGTTGAAGCTAACAACAACCTCGCCGACAAAAATGGCGGCCCCGACAACGCCGGCATCGCCGGCCATAGCATACTCCTCGGGGGCACCGTCCCCGGGCCCTCTAACTACCGGGACGGAGCCACGAATTCATCTTCATCAGTCCCCCCTCGGCTCAAAGAAGATAATCCAGTTCCCCCGAACTATCTAGCCACCCAATTCCATGAAGTCCCTGTCCCCGCTGGTACAGACGTCGCGACCAGGGCACTGTTCTCGGAAATCAACCATACCAACTACCTCATCTTTGCCCAAGGGGAAAGACTGAGAGCACTAGAGGACGACAGAAGGCCCCCGAGGAGACACAGAAGGACCCAATCCCCACCTCCTCGAAGAATGGAGGAACGTCCCCGATCTCCCCCGCGGAGACAGGACCGGGACATCTCCCGAAGCCCGTCACCCCGACCACCCGGGAGACGACCCGCCTTGGAGAGAGAACCACTCTTAGAGACCCGAAGGCGTGACCACATCCCTTCACGGCAAGAACGAAGACCTCCCGGAGACAGACACAGAGGAACCTATCAACGGACACATCGCTCAAGGAACGTCCAACACGATCAGAGCCATCGTGACCGACAATACATCAGGTCTCTGTCCCGCTCTCCGGAACAAAGTGATGAGGACGACCCCCACGGTCCCCTATCACAAGCTGTTCTGGAGGCGCCCATTCCCCCGGGCATGGAGAAGCCTCCACACCTGAAAGAGTATGACCGAGTCACCGACCCGGTCGATCACATAGACGGGTTCGAGGCCATGCTTCACTACCACAACATCGGGGGACAAATCAAATGTCGGTTATTCCCCACGACCCTAAGGAAAGCAGCTATGGACTGGTACAAGGGTCTCGCCACGGGGTCAATTACCTTATGGTGAAACTTGAAGAACCAGTTCATAAGCTCATTCACTATGTCTCGGCGACATCTGAAGACCGAAGCGGCGCTCGAGGCCATCGTCCAGAGGCAGGATGAGACCTTGAGAGAGTTCATCAACCGCTTCAACCGAGAAGTTATCCAGGTCCCTTGCACGGACCATATGAAGAGATACCTGCTGGAGAGGGGCCTTCTCCCCGGCACAAAATTCAGGAAAGTAGTGGGCATCGAACCATCCCGAACGTTTGATGCTCTCCTCGAGAAGGCCAGGGCCTACATGGACTACGAGGAGAGGGAATCGGCCAACAGAGCCCGAGACCCCAGGAATCGCGGATCCAGCAGCAACCCGTACCAAGAGGCCATCCCTCCTCGACGAACCGGGGAAAAAAGAAAAGACGACAAACCCCGGGACATCCGAGAGCAGAGGGGGCCTTCGGGGTGTTTCACAGAGTACACTCCGCTCACGGCTTTCTGCGAGCGCATCCTAGAGGAGTGTGCAAGTACAAACTTCAAAGATGGCGGTGTCAAGCGTCCCTGACCAGCTCCTGCCAAACCCGAAGTGGACAGGAGCAAATACTGTCAGTACCACAGGAGCCATGGCCATCTGACTGAAGACTGTGTCCACCTCAAGGACGCCATCGAGACCCTCATAAAAGAGGGGAGACTCGCCCAGTACCGACGAAACGACGCTCCTCGTCGCGACGCCCGTGAGACAAGAGAAGCAGAAGAGGATGCGCGACCATCTGACGAGTCGGTCCCCATCCAAACATCCTTCTCTGTCACAAGACCCGAGGACTTCTACGTCCCCGACTACATGCAAGAACCGTTGTCGACGCACAGCAGGTGGGAGCACTTTCCCTCCGCCATGGTCATCAATGGTGGAGGGTTCAATGACCTGACCATAAATTCAGCCAAGAGGAAGCTGGACGAGTTGGTCGACACGGCCCCCCTCAAACGGTGACTTTTGAAAAGGTGAAGGGTAGGTCAGAACCTATCACCTTTTATCTCGAAGAGCTCCCTGGAGGGGCCCCCAATTCGGTCATTCCTCTACTGATAAGAGAGAGAATGGCCAACTTTTACGTACACCACGTCCTCGTCGATGAAGGATGTTTCGTCGACATAATGTACAACCAACTATTCTGAACCCTGCAGCTCGACGACTCTCACCTCTCACCTTACGTGGGGTCAGACCTGCAGGGCTTTAACGGCTCAACTTCCAATCCTTGGGGATACGTCGAGCTCATGGTCACGTTCAGCGAGGATACGGCAACGAGGCAAGTCAAGGTGCGCTTCCTCATCATTGATTGCCCATC